AAAAAATCGAAAATGCTTCAAAATGGTCAAGACATACTCAAACAATAGTTCCCAGACTATTGATTGACGATTGTTTAATATTCCTCCTGTAGAAGGACAGGCCCGACTTAAGCCTAGGCCAGAGGTTCTCCCGCGGGGGGCCACGATCGTGGAGCTGTTGTTGGAGGGCCGCAGCCATTCGTCCCGCTGGGCCGGGCTATCGGGCCGCGGCGGCGCGCGCAAACGCGGAGAGGCACCGCGCCCGCAGCCGAGCGGACCGCCCCCGGGGAGGGGGGGGGGGGGGGGGCGCTCACGCTCGGGCGGGCCTCCCGGGAGACATGAGGCCGGCGGGAGCAGAGAGGGAAGGGATGGGAAGGGGAAAGGATTGTGGATGCCACGACAACGGACACTCTAACAATCCGACCATTGAATAGACATGTGTTAACAATGTGTAGAACATGTTCTAACAATGGTTCCAACATGTGATGTATAAAACATGCTTGAAACATGTGTTAGGCCTATGGAAACTATTTGGCAGCACGCTTCCTCTCCATTCGTCGTCCTCCACAAGGATTGGAGGCACCTGGGGAGGAGAGGGGGCGAAGCTGGTCGGCGATCGCGCGAGCTGCCCCTCGAGCCGGGCACCCGGCGGGGGGCCGCTCCGCGCGTGGTCCGCGGGCCGAGGACTAACCTCAAGGCCAAATGGGCCCACCGCGCCAGAGCCGCCACCCCTCGCACGCTCGCGCGCCTCCAGCCGCCTCCGCCGAGCGCATGCCAGGACTGCCCTCGGCAATGGCAACGCGCGGCGGCCTGCTGGAGAACCGCGGGCGGGCAGGGCACCGCCGCGTCGCGAGGGGCGCCCGGCCCCGGCGAGAGGACCGCCGCGGTGGAAGGTCGGCTCGGCCTCCGGTGGAGGGGCCACTGACGGCGACGGCCCCTGCCGCCTCGCTATAGGGGAACGAAGCATGGCATAAACATAAGAACTCGGAAGTCCGCGCGGATTTCTCGGGTCCGCGCTGGACCTCCTCGGCGGCGCCTCCGGCGCAGCCCCTGGCGCGCTCCCTGCTCGCCCCGTGCCACGCAAGGAGACCCCTCGCCGCGGACAAGGGGGGGGGAGGGGGGCCTCAGGCGGCCCGAAGTTCGGATGGCGTCGCGGTCTCCCCCTCCGGCGGGAACAGCGGGGGCCGAGGCGCCGCGCGGCCTCTCCCCTCCTCCTGCCGGGGCGGCCCCTGGCTGGAGGGGGCGGGGAGGCGTAGCCGCCTCTGCCAGAAGAGGAGAGGAACCGGGTGAACAGTGCCCGCTTCCGGCGGGCCGCCGACGTCGCGAGGAGCCTCGCCGTCGCCATGCCGCTCGTGGCGACTATCCCTCACATGATGGGCCGCGGTGGTGCTCGCGGCGCGCGTCCTGCGCGCCGCCCTCAGGCCTGGGCGGGGGAGCCTGCGCCGATTGGTCCTCAGCGCCGTGCCGAGGATCGCCTCTCAACAAAATATGCCCGAGATCGACGGGCGACGGGCCCGCGCCGCGGGCGAGCGCCTCGCGAGCGCGGTGCGAAGATGCAGCTTCCGAGCTCAAAGCCTGCCAAACGCACGGCACCAGGGCGCGCCATGGAC